AATCGTAAGTACATTAGCGATAAGGATATGTACTTATAATATTTTACATATATTTAATAAAATCTATCTTGATACATTCAGGCATTATCAACAAATACAGCAATTTTGTCGGCAGTCCTATTTTTGTGAATGGAAAGAGAACTAATACGATTCAGGTATCATCAATTATACATATAACTTTCTCTTATTTGTCCTATTTTTAATTTTTTTACCATAATTAAAGAATGATATTTTCTTTTGCAGCCATTATGGATGTTTGATCCAAAAGATGTAACACCGTTGCAACATGCAGAATTTTATCGATTCATAGGAAATTGCATTGATTCACCAAGATTTGTATTACACTATTCGACAGATGTGCCGTTGAGTATAAAAGCTCTATTATATTTCCCAGAAGAAAAGCCCGGAATGTTCGATTTGGCGAGGGACACTACCAGTGGAGTGTCGCTCTACAATCGAAAGATTCTGATTAAAAGCAAAGCAGAGAATATTTTACCAAAATGGTTACGTTTCATTAAAGGTGTAGTAGATTCAGAAGATATACCATTAAATTTGAGCCGTGAATTACTGCAAAATAGCACATTGATTGGGTGAGAATAAATTTCTAATATTTGTATCATTTATTATTACATACTATATTATTACATACTATATAATTATAAAGAATATAATTTTGATAGAAAATTGCGAAACGTGTTGACCGCACGTATATTAAAATTTCTAAACGAGCGATCTACGAAGCAGTCAGAAGACTATAATGAATTTTACAAAACTTATGGTTTATTTTTAAAAGAGGGCATTGTAACTAGTAATGATCAGTCAGAAAAGGTAATTTATTGTATTTTGTATAAGTGTTAAGAAAATATGTTTACAAAAATATTTATTAATTTGTGTTTTATTATAGGAAGATATAGGCAAACTCCTGCGTTTTGAATCGTCTGCTGCTGTCCCGGGAGAACTAGTCAGCCTGCCGCAATATTGCAGCCGTTTAGCAAAAGATCAAAAGGATATATATTATTTGTCAGCACCAAGGTATAGTGAAATATATTTTAAATATCTCGTGTTAATCAATGATCTACAAAAGTCATATATTATAGCCGGATTCTAGCCGAGCAGTCACCGTATTATGAATCTTTGAAAAAACGAAATATTGAAGTTTTATTCTGCTATGAGCCATATGATGAATTAGTATTAATGCATTTGAGACAGTATAAAACTAACTTTTTGACATCTGTGGAAAAAGAAATGCGAGATGATACGGAAGCAAATAAGCCAGAAAATTTAGGTATATAATAAATATCATATATTTACAAATTAAGATGTCAAATAAAAAAATTTTGTATTTTATTTTTTGCAGGTATTATAAATAAGGATGAACTGGATAATCTTGTGAACTATATGAAGAAGATTCTCGATAAAAAAGCATACGACATTAAAATGACGAATCGTTTGGAGTCGCATCCTTGCGTAGTAACCGTTCAGGATATGGCAAGCGCAAGACACTTTATCCGCATACAGAGCCATCAAATGAACGAAGAAATGCGATATTCTATGCTTCAACCGCGCTTTGAGATAAACCCAAATCATCCTCTCATCAAAAAGTTATGCAAATTAACAACTACAGATACTGAATTAGCTGATCGTTTAATACAACAGGTATGTTGTAATAAAAAGCTCTTCAAATATTTTGATGTTTATCTTTTAAATAAATTATCAATATATTATGTACAATTGTAGTTATTTACCAGTGCTATGGTTGGAGCTGGATTAATTGAAGATCCACGTATATTATTGACACCAATGAACGAATTACTTACTTTAGCATTGCAAAAATATTAAGAAAAAAAATGATTGTATCAATATTGTTCTATGATTTAGAAATAAAAGGATATTCTTCTTTACTTTTTCTGCTTTTAATCATAGAAGAACATTGAATGTCCCAAAATATCGTATAAAACCAATAAATTATTCGTTTTATTATTTAATAAAAATATATTGTATTATATTTTAATTAAAACTACGAATAAAATATAATTTATTATAGGCAAGATTGGTTTCTTTATTACAATAGGTTGTTCTTGTACAAATTAATTATAGCCTTACAATAATAACAAGTCAAGTTCCTCGTTTTCTTAAGAGATTTCGTGATATCGATATGTATTCTATTAGCAGGGCTAGATGTTATGGCGAATTTAAAAATTGTACCCATGTTTTCCATGTTTTTTTCATAATCCATGGTTCTAAAAATTGTACACTCTGTTGTAAACTGTTAAAATGACAAGCAATAAATAATTTTATAAAATTATTTTACATAAAATACATAAATATTTGATAAAATTATTTATTCCTTACTTTCGTAATCTTTTGAGAACATAACTCGCCGTAGTAGGCCTGAAGCAATAAATAATTTACTAAAAAAATTATATATACAAACCATTTATGTACGCTTTCAATCAATTCCATACTAACTATAAAAAAAAAATTTATAATTTTAATGTTATTAATTTATCACTTGGAAAATTTTAAAAGATGGTTTTTGCGATTTTTGTAAAATCACTAAATGATTCATATACTATTTATAAAAAGTTCGCTGTCACATCCATATTTTCTACTTTACAGTCTTTGACCAATGTGCTTCATCGTTTCTTTTTTTTAAATAAAACTAATCTAAATGTGTTATATAATATTTATCCGTGCTTCATATTGTGATTATCATTACTGATATATCATTACTGACTGAAATTTTATATCGCTTATAATTTTTATCGAATTTGTTGCAACTGGCGGAATCAATTTTGTTCTCTTTACTTTCTGTCTCATACGATTCTAATATAAAATCATTAAAAAATGTTATCATACGAATCTTAATATATAATCCTCTAAAATTTCAGAAAGTAGAAGCACAGTTGACTTTAACTTATATGAGGACGATGCGTTTGCTCTTGGTCAACATAAAAATCACCCTGTTTAGCATTATTAGTAATATGATTCGCTAATATATCCTACTAAAATACGCAGGATAGTTAGCATCCTTTACAAAACAGGAACATAAAATCGAATTTCTCAACAAAATTCTACGTATATAAATGAACATGTATACCTCACCCAAATATAAGCTGCCGCTATACAATATCCATTAACAAAAAAAATATTCTAAATAAAAGTGACAATGAGTAAAAAAAAATCTTAGATATTAATAAAGTATTCCTTGATTCTTCTATTTCCTTCATCAAATTAATCGAAGGAAATGCATTGTTTGTATGGCATTAAGAATTAATTCGCAGTTTTAATAAAAAGTATTCCATTATATAATATTATATGGAGTTCTTATAATGAAGAATACATGAGATGCGAATGGCAGATTGATAAAGGGCGCAATGAGGTGAATTACCTCGCACCGCTGAGCAGTCTTATTAAAGAGTAGATAGACGATAAAGCGTGATGTAAATAGTAGCACCATGTATGCAAATTTATCGGTCGTACTGCTGGTGACTAAAAAAAGAGATAAAAAGGAGAAAAAAATTAAATAAACGGAACGTTGACTTAGCTTACATATACACGGAGGAGACATCGCCCCTTCCATCGCTCTTCTTTGTTTCTTCTTAAATTTGTTATAAAACGTTGGGTAATTAACATTGCAATTATTATGATACAAGTTATAGTATTTGATCATCGTATAAACATTATTATCATCACAGTAAAAATATTTCATATTTTTTTAACTATTAACCTGTGCATAAACACGTGCACAATCGTACACATATTTGCTCCGTAACACGGAGGAGGCTGTTCTTCTTTTTCACTAGAGTCCATTTACTTACACGCTAATCTGCTACTTCTTACTTAATATATGCATTATTAAGTAGTCCGTCGGTTCATTTATATGTAATCAAAATAAAGTCAGTTAGCAAATAGTAAAAATACATAAATGTACCTATGTATCTTTTGCACTGGAATTATAGTTGTTGGATTAATATGTTAAATTTAAACGATAGGTTATTAAACAATAGTCATTGGTCTGACGACACTGTCGTGATTAACTTTACTTTTCTCGAGTAATGAATTCTCTTTTTCTTATTCAAGATAATTTCTTACGCGTGTAAATGTAGTCATAGTTGACACAATCTATTTTTCTCTAATAAATCTCATCTCCTTGGTAGAGTCGAAAGAAATATTTTCAATTATCGTGAAAAAAAATAAAACAATATTAAGAATGCGTGCAGTGTATAGCGTTCTCTAATATGTAATCATGTATTTTTCTTCTTGATTAGCAAGCAAATAATTTATATTTATAGAGTATTAACATCTTTCAAATGGAAGAAGAAACATGGCTTGAAAGTAGTAAACATACGAAAATTATATGTTTAAATATCTTTTTCTATCACCAAGTCATAAAATTATATTGATCTATATTTTCGATTTTGTTTGTATATAGGATGTTCCGCGAGAAAACCGACAAATTTCTAAAAATGTATTCTAAGAAAGTAGATATTTTAAAGAATTAATCAAAGGAATATTCACATAAAAATAATATAAATGTTTAGTATTTTTTGTTCGTTACAATGTTAATAAATTGTGCCTGATAACATTTATTATAAGTCAAATTGACCTATAAAGTGTGTATGTGTGTGTGTGTGCGCGCGCGCGCGTATGAACTTTTTGCTTAGAATACATTCTAGAAGTTTATCAGTTTTATCACGGAATAGTCTATATATTATAACAAAACATATACAATATTAATAAAATAAATAAAATAGAAGCTGTTTAAATTTTTTCATCGATTCTGATATGGACAACGCAACGTACGCACTGCTTGCAGTAAGACATATAACTATTCGCGATGAGTTTACAGGATTAAGTACACTGATTCTTGAACTCTACCTAAGTAGGAGGAGATTTAAGGTGCAATGTATTTCCGTAACGGTATACATCACATGCGCGACGTGCATCCAGAACACGCCGATGGTTCGCATAAACGGATTCCTTACTTCATAGCTGCCTGTACAGACTGTCTTACTTCTCTATGACGATATAACACTCTATGTACAAAATTGCATATTCACAGATATCCACGCGTCTCAATCGTAGAAGCACGGAGAAACACGCTTTCGCACGCTTCGGTCTATCCGCGTACTTCGGCACCACCGTTCGTCACACAGAGGTCTGCGTGATGCCATTCCCCGACAGCCACAAGCGTCCGTTGTTCTTCTGATCCGTGATCTCGTACTCGGAATCGTCGATCTCGCATAGATTTGTGGAGAGATCGCTGTTGCTGGTGGCGCCGCCCAAAAGCGAGTTTCTTTCCTCCAATGTGGTGATGACGGATCCAATCTCGTCTTCTTCGATCACCTTGTGGCATCGGTTACGGCGGGTGCTCGGAAAACCATAAGGCACTACGTCATCTTCTTCTTCCTCGTCGGACTCGAGAGTGCTGAGACGGCCATTTAGCGGATTCGTCTCGTTTTCGGTGTCGGTGTGAATATTGTAATGCGGCAGATATGAGTTTGGGTGACGCAGATAGCTCTCAGAACTCTTATATTTGTACTCTCCCTCACCGCCGCTATCGAGAGGATTCAGACGCTGCGTCTCCGCACAATGATATTGCTCTGAAAACTCAGTCCCGCATTCGGAATCACCGACATATTCCGATTCTTGATCTTCGTTTAGCGTCTCAATGTCCCTCGTTGGATCTATTGGACCATGTACTATAACAGAATTGCAAATGTTACATATATTTCTATATATTTCCATACTATATATTATTTATGAAAGTTTTACAAATTGTTGTAATTAATGTTATTAGCGATATAACAAATTAATATGTATAATATTATGATATTATATCACATTTTTTGTCATGCATAAATATTAACGTGATTAATTATGGTATTAATTCGTTAGTTCCTATTATAAATTCTCATTATTATATTATTATATTATAATGTTAACGGCATTAAATACATCACTTTAGATTTTATAATTTTTATTATGGGATGCGTGTCAATAAAACTACTAAATTTTTGTGACAATTTAACAAGTTTGCTATCAATACTTATGACTTACTAAAATTAAAGCTGTCAAACATCAACTATCATTACACTAATCATGCTAATGCAGGAAGAGGTAAATTAATGGGCATTCACAGATATCCGCGTCGCAAGACGTTCGTAGAAGCACACTCTCGCACGGTCTATCCGCTTCCCATCTATCCGCGTACCATCATATACTTACTCAATGGTAGTTGATGAGTATTAGACTCATTACTCTCATTGCTATGGAAACTGGACGAGTCTGGGACTTCGCTGCCAGGTACCTCCGTGATGTTGGGCAAGGGATTCTGACTCGGCCTAACCCAGTCTGAGCAGTCCCAGTGATACCCTAAAAGCATTGCAGACAACGACTGTACTCCGACACGCTACATGCGATGCGACATAGTGTTGTGCGGTGAAGTAAAAGAGATAGTGCGAGGGCAAATAATAGCACTCGATTGAGATAGTACAAGCGAAAAAGCGAAGACCCAAAGTATATCGAGTATCCTAAGATCGCACTTTAGCTACAGCAGCTTTTGCTGAATTTGTAGAGTTTTATTAAGCCGTCGATGATGTATTTTTAAATTTTCTACACTTTACTGTTACGTCTGCAAGATCCAATGTCTTGATCTTACATTAAAATATCTTTAATTTTTAAGAGACGATATACGATTCGAAGGATACTCTCTATCTCGAGCCATACGAGCGGGCTGTCTCGACTTACCACCGACGATGCGAGGATCATCCTCGATGGACGTGACGGAGGTGACGGAAGACCCAACCGCATGAGACGTCCGTCGAGAAGAGTTTAGTAGAAGTCCTCCAGTGGTCAGCTCTGGTACCACTGGGCTCGCTCGTTTCAGGTCTGTTAGTGCACACAACACGAAACACGCTGGTGTTAATAGAATAATCGACTACGCCAATAATAGAAAGGATGAGAGAGAAAAGACAGAAAAAGAGCGAAAAAATTAAGAAAAGGTTTCGTCGAGGAGAGATAAGAATGAGGAAGAGCCTAATGCTCCATCTCTTACGATTGCATGCCACAAGCGAAATCAAAAGTAAGAAGCTATCGGACGGAGTCAAGAGGATAATTCCTCTTTTATTGACACGGTGGACCACTCACCATTCTTGATTTTGGTAGTGTCGGTTATGAAGGAAGCTAGCTGCATCTGCTCCTGCCAGGTGGGCTTATGTAGACTATCCGTGTCGCTGCCAGTTGCATTTCCGCCGACCGGGTTAGCAAGGGTCAGGGACGGGGGTGGTATAGGAGTGCTGCGATTCAAGTTCCGTAGATAATCAGGCGGAAAGTTCTCTAGTTCATCGCCCGCGCTACCGTAGCTGCGCAGGGTGTCCAAGTTATTTAGAGCCACCGCTGCCGAGTTACCATACGTGGCAGGCTCGTTGTTCGAGCTTGGAGTATAGGAGGCGGGTCTGGGAGGACATTGGGGAGGTTCTCTCTGTAAAAAGAAGAATTACACGTAGACCTTAATTGGGATCGACGTCGCGATGAGGGGAAATGTATCACGCGAGCAAATCAAACGATTGCAAATGAAAAATAAAACAGCGTTAAAGTCGATTACTAAATAGCGATTATATACCACAAAGAACTGAAGGCATTATATCATAATCATGAGTTATTAAATTAAATCTCTTGAAGTTTCTCATGTAAATATTAAAATAATGCCTTCAAATAAATGTATATAGTCTGAAAAATTTCCAGACATTCTAAAAAATCAACAAATTCAGATATTAGCTTTTATTTACATTATGCTTCTACATAGTTCTCTCCCCTCTTAATACATGCAATTGACGGCGGTACAATGATTGGAAACTGTTATAATACTTCTCTTCTGAAATCGCTTTTATCTGATACGTTACATATCTTGGATCATTAGTACATTGTCAAAAAATTCTCCTTTTAGACGCAATTGTCTCATAATTTTTGGCCAAACGAAGATTTAGTGATCCACTATTCTTCGCATTTACTTGGCTTTAGTAGAGTAGTAGTTTTCTTTTATTTCTGAAAATTGTCTAAAAGGAGAGTGTTTTGACGATGTATCAGCGATCTAAAATAAAGGAATGCGTCAACTATTAAATTCGATTCCGGAAAAGGAGCATTATAATAATTTCCAATCATTATATAGTCTATTGCGTGTCAAGAGAGAAGGAAATTACGAAAAAGTCTGCTATAAATAAAAATTGATATCTAAATTCGTTGATTTTTTTTTTAAATTTTTGTCTAGGAATTTTTCAGATATACTATGCAACTTGGAGAGCTCATGCTTTTATAATACATCTGATAATGAGAATAGTTAATCTAAATGTAACAATAATAGTACCTGTATGACTTCCAGATTGCTCAGTTTTGAACTGCGTTTGAACTCGTGCTCATTTGGCCTCGCAGAATTCAAGACCATTTGTTTCCGTGTCTCATTGTTAATGTTGTTGGTACGTGTTCTGGTTCTCTTCGTCCGCATCCGCCAGAAAGCGACGAATATGATAATAAGCAGGATGTTGAGCAACACCGCGATGCCAATCCACATGAGATACTCCCATGGAATGTTTAAGTGGCTGGATATGATGGGCGTAGAGAAGGCTGGATTGCCGCAATTCAAGCCAGTCATATTCGGTGGGCAGATGCATCTGTACGTACCGATCTCGTTCACGCAGGTGCCACCATTCGTGCACGGACTTGCGTCGCATTCATTTACGTCGGTTTCACAGCGATCGCCTGTGAAGCCCTGGCACTTGCAAATCGGACCATTGTTTCCCTCCTCGCACACGCCGCCATGACTGCACGGATTCGGGCTGCAGTATCTACCAAATTCGCAACGTTTGCCACTCAGACTTGGCCCGACGCATTCGCAGACGTAATCACCGCTTTCCGGCACGATCTTGCAACGGCCGCCGTAGAGACAAGGCGATGAGGCGCACGGATCTGTATCGATCTCGCAAGCTAAACCGGCGAATCGGCTGTGACACTGACATTCATAGTTGTCGCTGCCCATGTCCTTGCAAGTACCACCATTCTGGCACGGCTGTGAACCGCAGACACCCGGCGGTACTAGGATGATCGCCGTGTCGCAACTAAACTCAACATTGGCAAATCGCTTGAGGATCGCCACGCTGCTAGCACCGCTCATGTGCAATGGCACAGATACTCGAGCGATCCTAACGTCGTCCATACAGCCAATGAAACCGCGCTGTACATCTTCGAAGCCGATAATCGATGGATGTTGTCTCACTTCAGCGCCTAAATATAAATCGTCCGATTGCAAATTTAGAATGTCATTGATACCAGGCGCCGAACCATGAGCAATGTGTTTTCCATCTACAGTCAGTCGGGCGCTGTTGCTTTCTCGCTCCAGCTGAATTTCGTGCCATTGTCCATCACTCACATACACACTGCTCACTCTAACTAATCCCTCGCCGCTGCCCAGATCGAATTTGTATTGCATCACGCCATTAACGATCTCCAGAATATTATAGTCCACTTTGCCGGCTGCGTACATGAGGTTGCCAGTAGGCTGCATCGTTCTGATCCTCAAGGATAAGCTAAGACGATCTTCGATCGTTTGCCGTATTAGTGCTTTGTCGATCTTGTAGCGCGCATAACTCTTGCCGCTGAAAGATATGGGATTTCGCGGAATGTAACACGACTCATCGTGGCACTTGGAAATATCTATGTCGCAAGTCTGACCCGCATATCCTTCAGGACACTGGCACGAATATCCTTGAATGGAGGAATCTGGTACACAAACTTTGAACAGAGGACAGGGGTCCCTGGCACATTCGTTGACTACCACTTCACAGTGATTGCCGGCATATCCTTCTTTGCAATTACATTCCATTTTATGTTTGTGTCGCGGTGACACGAAGCTCATCACATCAGTAGACACGGGCGTTATTTGCGTAGGATCGAGAGTAATTTTATCTTGGCAGTCACCGTAAAAGCAGTAACCTTTGTTGCACTTGAACCGAACGATCTCTTCGACGACTAACTTCGTTGATTCCTCCAGTTCCTCCACGTGTTGATTCAATGCCTCGCGTATGCTCTCTGATGCATAGAAACCTGATGAACCCGCGGAACTCGCCGCTTTCTTCACAGCAAATAGAAGATCGAGATCATTGTGTACTGCTTGGCGAATCGCCCGCGACTTGATTAAGTTCGCCTCATCAGTTGACGGCTGCACGCTGATAATGACGATATCTTTAAGACGGCAATTCATCGCGTTACGAACAGTTCTGACGAAACCCTTGCGATGACTTAGCATGAAATCCTCTGGGCTGACTTCTCGAAATCTCACGATTACCGAACTCTCGAGCATTTTGTCGGTCACTAGATCGACGTTAACTTTTACGACAGAGTACGAATGGAACTTGCCATCCGTCACGCTAATGTTTATCCTGTACTCGCCTACGTCAAGTCTGGGCAGAGCCACTAATGTACCATCAATCTTATCTATCTGGAAGAGATCGGTGCTTGGAATCGGCGAGGATGGTATCAAATTGAAAAGAAGCGTATCATACTGATCTTGATCGGTTGCGTGGACTTTCCCAATAATACCACCGGGATACTCGTCCATGTAAGAATTGATAATCACTTCGAGAGGCGTGATTACTGGTGGATATTGCGATTCCTCAATCACCTTGATTACAACCCACGCGTCCGAGTATAATGGGGGACTGCCGTTATCGAATACCCGAACATGTAGCACATATTTATCTTTTACTCTGTTGTTAAATTTCGTTGCTGTTCGCAGAGTACCGTCCTGCTCTAGCCGAAATGCATCGCCCTCGTTTCCGGAACGAAAATCAAAAGTGTACGGGTCAGCATTTGGTTCAATGTCCGCGTCTGTGACTATAAATTGTAAAACCGTATGACCGAGCGGTTTGTCTTCCTGTACAACAGCTGTGTAATTTGACAAAGAAAATAACGGCGGATTATCATTCGCATCCAGAACTTCGATGTTCACCATCACGAAGCTCGAGAGCATCGGTATACCATTATCACGTGCATGAACTTCTAACACATAACTTGCAATCTAAAAGAAAAAAATGAAATGTTTATTGGAATATTTCGTTTATATTTGTATGTGTTATGTATATTATTGTATTTGATACTAACTTCTTCTCGATCCAATAGCGTGGTGACAGCTATCTGTCCAGTTTTTCTATCAATGGAGAATTGCTTCTGTCTGTCGCCACGTTCTATATAATACGACACATTGCCATTTTCCTCGCTATCTAAATCGTTTGCGTAAACCTGAAATATCAATAAAATAAAATATTTTAACGAGACAAATAGTTTCGCATTACTTAAAATGGATTTTCTATTAACAATTATTTATGATTTTGTATATCTATTTGTCATTTTATATGTACATGTATTACATAATATAAATATTCTTAATGCATTCTTTAGTTAAAGTCATTGTAATATAGTTACAAACGAAATGAAAAGAAATTGAATTCAATTCTTGTTTTATATAACAATTTTTTGTGAAAAAATATTATTCTACTATAATAAGAACTAAAAATAAATAAATAAATCCTAATCTAAGGATAATTAAATAATAAACTGCAATATTAGATTTATTTTTTTTAGCTACAGTTCTTGCATAGTTTATCTTTCTTTCTTTTCTCTTCACGTTGTAGGGAAAAAGAGAAAAGATGAATCATGCAAGAAGTTCAGCTAAAAAGAATAGCTATTGTCTCTTTGAAAAACATTATGATAGAAGTGCAAATAATAACTGAGAAACTCACTTGCGTAACTTTTTCTCCCGTTTTTGCATCTTCTCTCACAAAGGCTCTGTATGAAACTTCGCTGAAAATCGGTGCGTTATCATTGCTATCGGTGACGGTAATATTGACAGTAGCGTGATTGCTCAGCGGCGGAATGCCTCCATCAATAGCTTGGATAGTGAGGAAATAATCACGAGCTCGTTCATAGTCCAACTGTTCGGCGATGGTTAAAACACCCGTCTTGGCGTCTATTTGGAATTTCTTATGCTCATTACCACCGACAATTGAGTAATATATATCAGCATTCACTCCTGTGTCCTTTGAGGTGGCGAGCACTCGTGCCACTTCGGTACCAACCGCGTAGATCTCAGGTACTTTCGCGAAGTAGAGTTTAGAAGCGAATTCCGGTGGATTATCATTGATGTCTTGCACGTTAACGATGAGAGATGCGACCCCCATTAGCTGAGGAGTGCCCTGATCAAGCGCCTGAATAGTAACATTGTACATGGCCTTCGTTTCTCTATCCAATGGTTTAGCCAACGTGACTATTCCACTGTCAGCTGCGATGAGAAAGTGACCATCCGCTGAATCAATAAATTCATATCGAATCTTCCGATTAATACCGATATCGTCGTCCGTAGCGTGTACCTTCGTTACTAACGTGCCGATTTCTACATCTTCGGGCAAAGTGCTGCTGTAAGTTGACATAGTGAATTTCGGCGCGTTGTCATTGAGATCGGAAACGAGAATCTCCAGTTGCGATGAACATTCCCAAGTAGGTTTATCTCGATCTTGTACGTGGGCTGTTAAGGAATATTTGGCTTGAGTCTCTCGATCAAGTTGCCCGACGGTTTTTAACACGCCGGTTTCCTTATCTAACGAAAATTTGTCGTTATTGTCGCCGGTTAAATAAAATCGTAGTTTAGCATTCGGCTCGTCGTCGTAATCGGTGGCCAATACAGTCAAGACATAGGCACCAGGATGCGAGCCCTCGGAAAGTATCTCTCTGTAACGGTATCTGAGGCAATATGGTGGATTATCGTTAACATCCAGGATTTGCACCGTTACTTTTGTCTCAAAAACGTATTTTCCATCTGTACCAACGATTTGAAGCTCGTAACGATCAATAGTCTCTCTATCCAAGGATTTTGCTACGTACACTTCGCCGGTAGACCTGATTTGAAATTGTGATCTAGAATCGCCTGATGTTATATAAAATTCTATCGGCGCGTTAACATCTGTGTCTTTGTCGACGGTGATCAGTTTTACCACAACCGTTCCTGGTAAAGCGTCTTCGTTCACCGTAGCCTCATAACGATCGTCAACGAATGCGGGTGCATTATCGTTATAATCTTTTAACTTGACGTGTACTGACGTCCTCGCGAAATGTTTTGGATTTCCATTGTCAGTAGCAACCACCTGAAAAAAAAAAGGAATTACTATATATATATATTCTATTTTTAGGTACATTTGGAATACTTATGTATTTATGTTACCTGAAACTTATATTCCGGCTGCTTTTCCTTGTCGAGTTGTACTAATGTTGATATCCAACCGGTATAAGCGTCCACTGTAAAAACGTTCGCTAATTCTCCTATGTCAGATCCAAAGGAGTAACGTACCTCGCCATTGCTACCGAGATCTTTATCATGCGCAATAACTTTGAGTATCGACGTTCCCTCCTCGATGTTTTCGGCTAAACTAATCGCATAGGGATTGCTTTCGAATTTTGGCGCGTGATCATTCTCATCCAGTACCTGAAGAGTGATCTCAGCGAGAGCTGTGAGCGGTGGACTAGAATCCGTTTCAGCGAGAACCCCGATTAAATGACTATCTTTCAATTCTCGATCCAATGGTTTTGCTAGAGTAATCTGGCCGTGAGAGTCAATCGTAAAGAGCGGATTATCTTCATCGCCGGATACTATACGATATGTTACAGTGCTGTTTGTGACGGTCTTGAGTTTCGTGATCGGTGTACCGACGGAAGAGTCCTCTCTTACAAAGAATTTATCTTCTTTTCGCTCAAACAGAGGCGGGACATCGTGGGAGCTCATTATATAGATACTTAGCGGTACATCGGCATGATGCGTAGTCAAGCCTTTGTCCTCCGCACGAATAAAGAGCTCGAATAATTGATTTTCTAAAAATATAACAAATATTTATTTGTCACATAAAATCTTTAACAAAGACGGATCCCATTTATTGATCCCATTTATTTTGCTCATAGTATAAAGGTAAAATAAATATATCTCTTACCCCACGGCATAGCGCTCTTTTGCAGATAAAGAGATCCTGTATCGGGATTTATACCAAGCAGAGATCTAGCTGATGACGTTTGCGGTTCGTAGATGGAATAAACGATCTTGGCTGCCTCATCCTCATCCGCGTCTTGTGCCCTGATTTTTAAGAAGGGTGTATTCAGAGACAGATTGCCCTGAATGGTCGCTTTGTATTCTCTAAGTAGGAATACCGGCGCATTATCATTCTCATCGCCGATCTTAATTCGCACCATCACGAATCCGGATCTACCGCCGCCGTCCGTCGCCATAACTGGTATTTCATAGCGCTTCTGTTCTTCCCTATCAAGCTTCTTACGTGTTACTATCTCGCCGGTGAGCTTGTTTATCTCAAATATCTCCTTCATCATCTCTGACATTATCGCGTATGTTACTGTACCGTATTCGCCGAAGTCTTCATCCACGGCCAGCACGCTGGTGACCAGTCTACCAGGCAGTTGGTTCTCCAGGACGGTTACTTCGACTATCGGGTTCGGGAATTTCGGATTGTGCCTATTCGCGGGCAGAATCTCGATCTTGACGCGAGTGAAGCTGGTGTAGACACCATCGGTGACAGATACATTGAGCATGCTGAGCTTTTGCTCGCCAAAGTTCTGCATATTTATCAGCGAGATGATGCCGGTCGACTGGTCGATATTGTACGTCTGCTGTTCGTTCCCACCTACGATGATGTATGTCAACTTTTCATCGACGTAGTCGGGATCGCTGGCTGTGACCACTGTCACAAATTGACCACGTTCGGCATGCTCCGATAGGAAACAGGTATATGAGGGCTGCTCGAACTTGGGCGGGTTGTCATTCATATCGATCACGCTCATCCAGACGTGCGCCGTACTCGACAGACTCGGCACGCCGCGATCCATGGCAATCACGGTGAAGTGATGGGACTCGTGACTCTCATGATCTAAAGATCGCTTGAGAAATATCACACCCTCATCAGGATCGATGTGGAAGAGATCCGTGCTGTCCTCGGTGTCATTTTGAATAGCGTAACGAACTTGTTGATTAATGCCTATGCAAAAATAAATATATATTGATAAAAATATCAATTTATTTTTTATAAATTTCATCCATTACGTATAAAACCAAAGGAGATATTATAATCCAATTTTCAATACGAAGTTTAAATTTGTTTTACGCTTACCTGTGTCATTGTCTCTGGAGCTCACTCGCAAGACAGGGGTCCCAAATACCGCCGCCTCCGACACCGAGATGTTGTAGGAATCCTGCGTGAATTCGGGCGGGCAATCATTCACGTCCAGGACGAGGATGCTGACGAGTACCTCTGCGTAAACGCCTGATACACTGTCGGTGGCGCGTACGGTCAGCTCATACTGCTTCTTTTGCTCATAATCCAGTTCATCCACCACATAGATTACACCTAATTTATACGAAGAGAAGATTGTAGACCCAAAGCACATACAATGCAGCGGTATGTCTACGTATCCGTCAAAGGAGCGTGTTCTTACCAAGAGCGATTGAAAGCAAGTGCGTATGAGAAATTAATGTACTCTATTTAGAAATGATAATGTGAAATCAAAAGGCTCCAAAATTTAACAATAAAAACTTAAGGAAAATTACCAATGTGAGCCTACACAAGGTATCATGTGATAATAATAATTCGTATATTAAAAATATAATATTTTTACAGATGTTTTAACTTTATTTAGCTTTTGTGTCATCGCCATTTCGATTTTGTAATTAGCGGTGAATTCAGAATTGTGAAAATATATATTTTTGCGATATTAATTCGACGGATCTGTAGACACTAGAAGTTGCGAATGAATGCAGTCATGTGGTAAACATATAAAATGTCCGGATTTCATAAACGATTCGCTAATGCCTGTGATAATACCTGCACCTCTTGAGAAATAAAATATTGAAATTTCACATTGCGAGTATATTGCTTTGATCGTGATTTTTATTAAATTAATTTCGAAATAATATCTGGGAAATGGAATAAATTTTGATTTGTCTTCCGTAAGGTGCAGGCGTGACATGCGAGCAGATTGAAGCTATTGAAATCTCGTGAAGAAAATGAAAATAGGTGAGTCGCACGTTCACATCTAGGCGAAATATTTATGATGTATCTAGACTTGCCTCAAATCATGGAACGATAGTGTAAGCAGCTATTGTGTTCCAAGCCGGTTTCATGTAATTCCATCGCGATTACAATTTAATGAGACCCGCCCAGATTACGATCGCGGAAAAACAAAGAGAGTGGAAACAAAATTAATTTTGTAAATGGTGCACACGACTAAAGCGGTTTATAGATGAAAGAAAGAGTCTCCCTCCAAAACAAATATTATAATCTTTTTAAATTAGAAAAACTCGGGAAACTCCATCTTTGTAAGGTTAGCCTTCGACGAGTACGTGCAACAAGCTTGCGCCATAAGCTAGCAAACATCAATAATTCGAAATGTTTATTATTTTTACTGTAGCATAGTATCGTGCGATTACATAAAGTGCAATTTAATAAAGTGTTACGGGCAATAAAATGGGAATAGAATAAAAATTAATTGGTAGAAATCAGGATACATGAAAAAAAAAATATATATATATATATATATGCGTATAAATGTGCCATATATATAATTTGGAAAATATGAAGTACATCCTATGCAAATTTTATAAAGATGAATTTTGTTGTAAAACAATAAATATGCATGGTTTCTGAAGTGACAAATGTAACCGAAAAAAAAATGGAATGTTTCTTTATAAAAATAAAAAGTATTCAAATAAAGAGATTTTTATTTCATATTTTCCACTTAATTTTTCATAAAGATTATTTTATTCTTAATACCATTTCAGAAACACAATATATAAATATATATTAATATTACTATGCAAGAGAGAATAGATAGTACGTGTCGCCGTGTTGTCATGGTAATTGCATAAGATAATTGAATAATTTGCATCGATCAAAATGTTAATTGGAAATTCAATCAAGCGCTGCAGCAATTGATAAGCATATACATATTTTAAACTATTAATTACATTCTCTACTGAAGATTGAAGATTAAAACTGCAATTTCATATTGAGTATAACAGCAATTAAATGTTTAAATGTTTAAATGTGATTCTAGAAATGACTGACATCGTTCTTTGAAAATTTATATAAAGACATTTCCGGAGTAGAATTACACAGATATATAAAGATATCTCTGAATTAAGAATAAGCAAGAAATTCAAATCTGGAAGTTTCTACATTGCATTCGATGCTATCGAGTCGGAATACAAGCCGCTCCCGATTTAGTTATTGAATCTCAGATTTAGCCAAATGCAATTTCGTTGCTCGCGTTTGTTTCAATCTGTTCGACCCAACTGCAGCGATTTGCCTATAATATTATATCGTGCATGAACACAGAGTGGTGTGTAATATAGCATAGCAACACAGCATAGACCGATAGAACTAGAATCTTTTTTATACTCACAAGGACCATTGTTACTGTCAGGGGCTGCGAAACAGGGAGATACAACAAGACTTTAATTTCTAGTTTTCAGACACAAGCAGTTGTAAAGAAATACATATGGAACAAGTATCATAATCCGTACAATACAATATAACAATCTATGAAAAATAACCGTAAATACAAACAACTACTAAAAGTACATATGTAAATGCAAAATTAGATTCATTGGAAAGATTCAAATATAATTTAAAAAAAATATATATATATAATAAAGATAATAAAGAGAATCGGCGTTAAAATCGATTTAAATTTTAAAATGTGTCTAAAAATGTCTAATTTTTAATAATGTCTAATTTTAATGATTAATATTATAATAAATTAAAAATATTATGTTTCTTTCCCCATTTTCCCCTAATTTCACCAATATTGTTATGCGATTAGAACTTAGTAACTAACTACCATAATGTAGCAAAACTGAGTTTACTAAATATAGCATACTAGCAGTATATCATAAGAAATCTTTCTGTAGTTTGAATAGTGTAAGTCCCATAGCCAAGTTATGAAATAAAAACGGGAATGTTTTACGACTCCGGTCCAACTGTCTTATCAATGTAATATTATATTCACTTTACTGTAAGGTTTATATCTTTAATTAAAAGCTCTGAATATGGAATGTTTTCATTGTTGTCGACCAAGAAAATCTTTAAATAAACTTGATTTGATATTTCTTGCTGCGTAGTTAATAAGAAATAATAATTCTTCGCCAATTCTTATACGTTTCTATTTTGTCACTGTACCATACAATTTTATAACGTTACGCTATCTCATACGAAATTATATTTACCAATCTAAACATTTCGTTTGTCATTTGATAGGGCATGCCTGAGAATCTGTGTTGCGTATTTTACTTACCCGTGTTGAAGTCCAGGGCGAACTCCTCAAAATCATTGCCCTTAGTAATGCTGTATATGAGTTTGCGATTTAGAGGTGACTCAGCTTGAATGGATAACGCCAGAGGTGAATGCACTTCTATACTCTCGAGCACGCTATCCGTATAGAATTGCTTGTCAAATACCGGCATCGAACGATCTATCACCTTCACGTTGACTGGCACCTCAATCGAGCAAGGCGTTATTCCTGCAATCATATTTAGAAGCTCATTTAAAACGGGATCAAGCGGAAAGCGAGTTATTGACTTTGAATTTAACAAACTTACCGCCATCGTACGCGGCGATTGTAAGCTGGTATTCGCGATTGTGACCTTCAAGATTCTGCTTTAATGATATTTCACCGGTTTTCCGGCACACCTTGAAGAGTTCTCCGTGACCCTTTTTTAATTCATATCTCACTTCGCCATTATCGCCACTATCCATGTCTATCGCATGAACCTGGATGATAAAAAAACATTTGGTATATACCAAAGTATATACCAAAGTTAAGATTGACAAGAAAAGTACGTCATTCACGTATTAAGAAATTTCTCTACCTTTGTAATGATGTCGCCTTTTTGAGCGTCGACGGAAACTACAGCATAGTAAGGTAAATTAACGAACATCGGACAATTGTCGTTGATGTCAAGTATAGTGACGTTCACTATGACGTGAGCTACCCTGGGCTTCTCTCGATCCGGCGGATGGCTTTTCGCCTCGACGATTAATTCGTAGTGATCGCACACTTCTCGATCGAATCGTATGCCATTGGTTCTGATCGCTCCGGAAGTTGATCCGATGACAAACATGTCGGTGGGATTAAGAATGCTGAATATAATGTGCTCATTCAATGAACTACCAAGGACGTTTACTACCACTACGGTTGTAATCTTCGTGGAGTTCTCCAAGATGGCACCTTCATAGACATTCTTTTGGAAGATCAAACCAGAATTCTCCGATTTTTCTACTATCACGTTCACCTGCGCCACGCTCGAGTACTTGCCATCTGACACTCGCACGTGGAGAAGATAGTTCTTCTTCATACGATCGGGATTATGGACCGTAATAATGCCACTCTGGGCATCTATATCAAAGGTGTGAGCCTTATTCCCATCGATGATGTCATATCTAGATGAGTATAAAACGCATTATTCATCAAATAAGTCAAAAAGTAAACTGAAAATATTGATAATAAAAATTTCGGATTAATTAATTCAAATCTACTGTAATCGAAAACGTTATGATATTGAAGAAATGTGAGTATAAAAATATTTATTTATATTTCTTTAAATCTGCCAATTTGAAATTTATTTTTCCAATAATATAAAAACAATGTGCAACAAATGCAGTCATTATTATAAATTATAAATTAAGAGTGCATTTAATACTAAATACAAAATAAGGACAGCTTAACAGCTAGAAAACTCACTGATGTTTCTGTAGCACGTACCTCAACGCGACTCCCTCGGAGCTGTCAGGATCCACGGCGTTAACCCGAGTGACAGCGACGTTCTTATACGTCGGCAGCAGAAGCGTGACATTATAATCAGTCTTGGAGAACTTGGGCGGACAATCGTTAACATCTGTCACAGCTATCATCACTTTGGCAGTGGTCTCGGATGAGAGTTTTGGCTTGCCTAAATCTGAGACCTTTACGTGAAACGAGAACATCGGTATAGTCTCGTGGTCTAGCAGCATAACTGTGCGTATAGCACCGGTGCTGGAATCTATGTGGAAGTACTTTCGCGGTAAATCCTCGACAATATCATAATTAAGCAGCGCGTTTAACTCGGAATCCGCATCTTCGGCCTTGATGACTAATGGTGCGCTCGTGTTAGTCAACACAAGAGAACCGATGCTAGCACCTTCGCTAATTTCACCGCTGTACTGAGCCTGCAGGAAACGCGGCGCGTTGTCATTTCTGTCGAGCACATGAATGATGACATTGCAGGTGGCCGAAGCGCCAGCCATGTTTGTAGTCGACACCGTCAAATTGAAGAATTTAGTTTTTTCGTAGTCCAGCTCATTCTTGATGACTATCACACCGGTGCTTGGATTCACGAAGAAGGTATCGTCGCGATTGCCGCGCACGATCTCGAACTGTAACGATGACGTACTCCGCGCCTCCACATGTTTCACGTACGTGCCAAGCTGTTGGTTCTCATATATCTCCGCAGACAGCTCCTTTTGGATGAAGCGCGGCGGCGCGTTATCTGCCATTGTCACCATCACATGTACCGGCACGGTGTTCGCCAACGTGGGAGAACCGTGATCGGTCGCCTTCACGAGAAGGATGTACTCGGAGGAGATGCTGAGGTCGAGCTCGCGTGCGACGCGGATAAAACCGAGATCCGGATCGATGGTGAACACATTGCCGACATTTCCGGATGTGATCGAGTATGTAATCTTGGCGTTCTCTCCACGATCCCGATCAATCGCACATACCTGTACCACCGCTGTTCCAATTGGCGAGCTCTCGTATACCTTTCCCTGAATGATCTCGCTGATAAACTCGGGCGCATGATCGTTGTGGTCGTGCACGGTGACGATTACTCGAGCGTAGTTGCGCTTGGCTGGCGTGCCCTGATCCTTGACCATCACCGTCAGCACGTGCTCCTCGATGGTCTCCCGATCGAGAGGTTCGTTCAACGTAATCGAACCCAAAACCGAGTCCACGTGGAAGATCTCAAGTGAGGCCTGAGTCTGTGCCGCGTGCAGGCTGTAGAAGACTTTCTTATCCTCGTCCTCATCAGTCGCGTGCAATTGCAGGATTTTCTCGCCCTTCTCGACATTCTCTGAGATGTCGACGCGATATGTGGCTTCAGTAAATTCTGGTCGGTGATCGTTGATGTCGATCACTGTAACAAGTAGCTGCGTCAGTGTTGTGTGCACACCGTCGGTTACGCCGATCGTAAGATTGTAAAAATTTTGGGTTTCCCAATCCAGCTTCTTTGCAAGCAGCACGTTACCATTGTCGCGACCGATGAAAAACTCGTCGCGCTTATCGCCATCTAAAACGTGTCGATAAAATTCTGGATGACTTTTGTGATCTCTAGCATTTAATCCCATTGTAGATACGCGAAATTGTAACGTTTTAATTTTATTACTCGCGTGGGATGTTCAAGACACCCTGGCTTTTTAAATTCGCCAAATATATGAATATTTTTTATACACATTATTATACTTAGCACAAATTGTTTCAACAATTAAACAAATTTTTTGCATCTTTACCTAAAGGATGTACGGAATATTATCAATCTTTATTTAATTATAAAGAAAATAATGAAAATGATATAATGTTAGGAGTGTAGGAAACATGTCATGCGAGTAATTATTTAAAATAATCACGCGAATAATGTGTATCTATTCTTACCTAAAATATCGTACCACAGAGAATCACCGTCTTTGTCGTTGGCTTGAACGAGGGCGACTAAAAAGCCCGCCTCGTCGCTCTCCGTGACTTCTACGCTTTGATTGTTTGTTTTGAATACTGGAGGGTTCTCTGATTCCTTCGGCGCCTCCACAACTTGAACAGAAACTCGGGTCTGATGACTGCGCTGAGGCTCACCGTGATCGGTTGCTCGTATCTACAGAATATACAGGAGAAATTCCCATCAATTCAAATCGAGTTTACATTGTAGAAATATCGGGTATGAATACGAGTATGATACATTATAAAAGAATCTAAAATATGCGATGTAATATAATGCAAATTTATTGCAATTTCTTCTCGCCTCAACATTTTTTCTTTCGCTCCAATTATTACATAATTTAATACTGCTTTATTTAATGATAAACAATTGAAGGGTTCTTTTCTCAAAAACTAAAAAAAAATCACACATAAACAAGTCTAAAAAGTTAAATGTTTAAAAAACAAAAACTTTTAATCTTCAAACCATTTCTTTATGTAAATATGATAATTTTTCTCCAAACGTATAAGATCAAAATTTTAGGTTTTAATCAATATTTTGAGGACCTATGTAAAAAAGAAAAATTAAAATCCTCTGGATTTGTTCGATTCTTGTGAAAGTTTTATATTTATTATTTATTACTATTTATCCTATAATGTTTTACATTTATCTTTTTTATAACATTAATAATGCTATCAGTGCTTGCTAGACTATTTTGCCTCTTGTTTACAAAAGAATTTGTCTTGTTTGTTTATCGGAAAAGCTATGGACGACTAGTTTCATTCTTGTAAAATATTGAACTCTTTTCCATTTGAATCTTGTCAGAAATTTGTTCACGATATGACGCTATTGATAGAGAACGGTTTGGTGACATAACCCAGATATTTAAAAAAATGGAATTTATTTGATTTCTTGTAGAAAAAATATCTTCAATTATGTATCATATTTTATCTATTATTTTATTTTTGTGCTTAAAGATTCTTTTTCACGACAGGAACATGTCGCGGTTATAACAATCTGCAAAATTCGGATTTTGTGTGAGTATCAATAGATAATTATTTTATGTTATATATATAATAGTAACTTATATGTGTGAGAGAGAGAGAGAGAGAGAGAGAGAGAGAGAGAGAGAGAGAGAGAGAGGGGTTAAACTGAAATTTTGCTTTCTATTTTTAACACAGAAATTTTACACAGAAATAGATCACATTCCCTGTCTTTAATGAATAAAACAGTTATTTATACACCATACAAACAGTTATTTATATCACTAAAGTGTTTTTAATTAATGAAAGAAGTCCACTTACCATCATTTCATATTCTTGACCAGCCTCAAATCCACGTTGAGAGAACACCATTCCCGTGGTGGGATGAATTTTAAATTTGCCCTTTCCTCGACCGCCTTTGATACTATACTGGATTTTTCCATTGTCACCAATATCTTGGTCGTATGCAAGAACCTAAATGCAAATTTTGAAAATTATTTTGCTGCCATCATGTTACGATAAAATCATCTACTGAAAAGTTCAGCACGAAAAAAACGTTAGTATACACATATACATATATGCATATATATATATACATATATACATATATACATATAT